TATTATTATTATTATTTGTGTGTGTGTGTGTGTGTGTGTGTGTGTGTGTGTATCTCCATGCATAATGTGAATATGATGCCAGGGTATGCTTCTCCATTCAGAATTCTTTTGACATTGGAAGTGACAGGCACACTATTTTTCTATTGACAATGTGCTCTTATACGCATTAGGCAAGCTTCTCGATGACATTGGCTTAGGTAGGGCCTGAGTATTCCAACAATAACCATCTGCATTCTGGAGTAGCAAAGGAATAGTAGCTGATAATACATGAAGCTAGATGCCTCAGCAGGACCAAACTGGTTCTGGAGGCCTGGAACTCCTTGGAGAGCTGGTGGTCTTCAGTTGATGTTGAAAGGTTTGGTTGTGCTGATGGAGCAGCCTCATTGCCTCTTGTGCTCTGTGTGGTCATGTCTACTGTCCATTCAGGAGGATTGCCAGTGAAATTCCCTCTACATTCAGCTTCACATATGAGAGGGTACCAACTGTGCAGGACACAGGACAGATGCATCTCAGCTCTCAACGTTGAGTTTTTTGAGACATACTTGATTTTAGTTTGAAGCAGAGTAACATCATGAAGATCAGAGGACAACTCCGTGGAGTTGGTTCTCTCTTTCCATCCTTAAGTGGGTTCCAGGGATCAAATTCAGGTTGTCAGGAGGGCAAGCACTGAGCCATTCCACTTGCCCAGTTTTGTTCTTTTCTGCTTCACCATGCTTTTAAAAGTTCATACTCTTACTAATTTCAGTCATCAGTAACAACTCTAATATTTATCTCTACATCAGTCTAAGAGTATATGTCTACATTTTCCCACCAGAAATAAGAGAAAACTTACACTTCTCTCCTTCAGTACACTGCTCTTGCATGAAGAACATATAAACCACCAATTTGGAGTCTGCGTCCTCATTTTCCAAGTAGCCACTACAAGTTTAAACAGAACCTTGGCTCCTGATGTGCTTCAAGTCTGATGCTTATCCTGCAGTAATGTAGTAGAACAGAAAAAGTTCAGGCTTTGGAGTTACATAGATCTGGGTTTAAATCTGTCTCTTACTTAGTGACTGGATAAGCTGAAGTAAATTACATTTTTTTTTTAATGTGTATGAGTGTGTGGCCTGCATGTATGGAAGTGCACCCACGTCATGCAATGCTGGTGGAGGTTAGAGGAGGACATTGGATCCCCTGGAACTGAAGTTATGGATGGTTGTTAGCAACCATATAGGTGTTGGGAATTGAACCCAGGTCCTCTGCATGAGTAGCCAGTGCTCTTAACAACTGAGCCATCTCTCCAGTCCCGCAAATTACTTTTAAAACTCTCTGAAGCTATAAGTAAAATACTATCACAGGTCACAATGCATAGCTGCAAGTTTCAAATGATATAACAAATGAAAAAAATAAATGCCAACTTAATGCTAAACTGCCACACAACTCTCCTTCCTCTGCCTTCTCCCTTTCTTCCCCACTCTTCACTCAACCCCCTCCTTCTCTCCCCTCCTCCCTCTCTGGGGACAAGTTCCTGCTCTCTAACCCAGCCTAGCCTCAAACTCACCACCTTCCTGTCACCACCCAAGGATAACAGATGTGTGACCACTGACTCAAGGGACTACTATTATGTCAGGTGTCCTTCCATATAATTTTGTATGTCATTTTTACTTTTTTCAATCAATATATTATATATATATATATCTTCCAGGCCTTTTGTGCCAGATTAGGACTGAGGTACCCAGCTTCATAGATTGGGTTCTCTGCCTCTCCAGCATACAGGCAGCCATTGTTGGATACCCAGCTCCTAACATATAAGCCATTCTAAAGAATCTCCTTTTTAAGCTATATAAATACTCTACCAGTTCTGTACCACTAGAGAACCCTGCCGAATACCAGTAACGCTCAGTGGTAACCAGCAGCACACAACTGCCAGTGCATATTTTATTTTACTGTGCTTTTAGAACAAATTCCTAAAAGTTTAATGCCTGTGCCAAAGGATAAAGGGACATGTGATTTTTCTGGATATTGCCAAGTTCCCTCCCAGGCACTCTGTGGTTATTATATCCATGCCTGCCAGAAACATACCAAAATGCCTATTTTCTCGCAGTCAGAAGAGTATATATTATAGCTTCTGAATTTTCTTGAGAAATGCTTTAAAGCAGCTTTAATCTGTGTATATATACATTTGTATGCACACATGCACATGTGCATGTACAAGCCAGAGGTCCTTGTTGAGTGTCTTCCTCTATCATTCCACACCTCATCTTTTGAGACAGGATCTCTAACCAAACCAAGAGCTCACAGACTAGTTAGGATAGTAGGCCAGTGAGCTCCTATCTCTACTAGCCCCCACCCCCACCATACCAGTGTTGGGGTTACAGATACATGCTAATCTTGGCTTTTAGATGGGCGCTGGGGTCCAAACCCAAGTTCTCACATCCGCACAGCAAACATGCTACCACAGCACCATCTTCCCAGCCCTGAGTCACTTTAGTCCTTTAGCACAACTTTAATTTCTATTTCTCTTTGTATGACTGAAGCTGGAACCTCTTTTACCCATCTATTATCAGACTTCTTTTCCTATCAGCGCTCTTTTCATATTTTTGGCCCATGATTTGCTTGGGTTTTCGGAAAATCATTTTAATTAAAATTAGCTCCAATTATTTTTCCCTATTTTGTCATTTGAAATTTACCTTATTTGTGGTGTTTTTTTACTACATTCTTTAAAAAAAAAATACACTGGGATTTACCCTTTTCTTTTTTTTTTCCTAGAAGTGAGTCACAGTTATAAAATCTTTACTTTTTACTTACATAGACTTTAGCCGTGTTGCTCCATGGCTGTTTTGCTCTGTGTCATTGTTCAAGTCTGTTGTTAACCTTCTTTTTTCTTCCTGGAAACCCAGAGAAAATTGTCTCCATTATTTTAAAGGTTTCACTAGACCATAACTTGAGCGAACCATTCTGGATCAATATTCTCAGTACACAAGAAACCTTTTCTTTCTCTGTTCTCACTTTTTAATGGGGGTGAGGGATTGCATACAGGTATTGAGCATGCCAGGTTGCCGCTGTGCCATTGAACACCTCACCTGAACCTTTTTAGTATGCACACTTCAGTCTTCTCTATTTAAAAAGTATTTCCAGGGGTAAAAGTCTACATATCAGCTCCACTACTGTTTTTTCTACTTAGGAGCTCTAATTTTACATCTTACATCTTTTTTATTTTTATTTGTATGTTTTTTGTATATGTATGTGTGTGTGTGTGTGTGTGTGTGCACCTGTGACATATAGTGCCTACAGAGGCCAGAAGATGGATCTCCCTGGAACTGGAGTTACAGAGGGTTGTTAGCTGCCACGTGGTTGCTGGGAATCAAGCTCAGGTCCTCTGCAAGAGCAGTCCTCTTAACTGCTGAGTCGTCTCTCCAGTCCACATCTTACATCTTAATCACCTTTTAGGCACTAGGGATACAACTCTGAGGGGGAACACTTGCAAGAATACAAGGATCTGGGTTTGATCCTTAGCACTGTGTGCATCTGTCTCTCTCTTCTATGTATCACACACACTCACAGGCAATACTCTATTTCCTTTCCCATTCTTTTGGCTATCTTCATGACTTTTTGCAGTGTCCTTAATTTAGTGTAATCTTTTATCTGTGGTACCTTGGAATTTAGCTTCATTTTCAAGTTACTTATTATTTTTATTTTATGTGTATGAGTGTATTGCCTACACGTGTATAAGTACACCTATGTCATGCAATGCCCGTGGAGATGAGAAGAGGGCATCAGAACCCCTTGGAACTGGAGTTGCAGATGGTTGTTAGCCGCATACTGAGCCCCCTCCTCAGTACCCTTAACTTCATTTTAAAAGATAATTTTCTTTTTTCTTCATTTTATTCTCTGAGTTCAGAAATCTCATCTTCACTTCTTTTTGTTGCTTTGGGGGGAGGGTTAAATATGAATCTGAGGGGTTTATGTCTGCAGTGCTTTTAATTCAGGAAGGGGTACTGCACTATAGTTTTCTTTAGTTTTGTCACTGAATGTTCTAAGGAGCTTTATCATTAGTTGAATGTTTTGACTTCCATTTTGTTTTCTACTTAAGTTATCTTTCCATGAATGTTGTCTGCCATCTTCTGTTCCTTTTGAAGTACTGTATTTTTCCTAAACCAGATAGATGACAGTATATAAAGACAGGAACAGGGGATTTGAATGACTTATTTAATTTCTTAGTTCAATAGTACCTGGTGGCTTTTGTTCGTGTGTTATTTTCATCAGTGACTCATTTTGGGGTATGTGTGGGGGTTGTCCACCATCTGTCTGAATAAGATCCTCGATTTCCGTTACCTTTTCTCTTTGACCACCAAGTCTTCACCACTTTGAGAGACTATGTTCCTTCAAGGTCATCCTCCAAATCATACTCTTTCCCTAAAACAGTACTTTCTTGAGACTGCCTTTCAGACCCACATCCTTTCAAGCTTTTTTGTCCAATGGGTCTCACACTTCTCAGTATTTCCCTATTGAGAGTGGAACTTTCTCTTCTGGAAACTACCTGTCTGGCTTGCCCTGGGTCCTCTTTTCTGCACTCCTGCTCCCAGATACACTACTTATCCATGGGCCCTAGAGCCAGCCCGGCTGGACTGCAGTGCTAACATACACATGTATACACACACACACACACACACACACACACACACACACACAAATTCCTTTTATGTTAGTTTGGCAAAAGTGATAGTGATTTTGAAGCAGGATGGGAAAGACAGGAAAAGGAAAGAGCCCTCGACATCTGATTCTACTTTGTATCTCTTGCTGATTTGATTAGTTTTAAACCAACCGAGATTAACCTGCACACAGAAAGTATAGCTTCCTAGAATTATCACAATGTTACTAAAATGGCCAAAGACCCATGCTTAGGAGCAAATCACATCTCTTAAACTCCTTGTGTAGCTCAAGTATAGAAAAATGGCTTTATTTTGATGTTTTTGTACTGACATTTCTTCCTACATAACTACTTTGAAATGACATTTATGAAATTTTTTTTGACAAGTATGCCAACATATTTTTTTTTCTCTCAACCCTACAGATCATCTCCTTTGAACAATGTAGGGTGCAACAACCCCCAAAGAACATATATAGCTGCTGAGGCCCTCTTCCTTTGCATTTTTTTCTTCAAGTGTATTCTTTTTTCTTAATAAATAAATTCTAGCTTTACTTCATTCTGATGCCTCCTGAAATTTTCTGCAATGTGACTCAAGTCTGGGTATACCTGAGGAAAGACACACACAGCTGCAACCCCCATAGCTGGTGACAGTTTAATCCTTGTGTATCTGTACCTTTAAAAAAAATAATAATATACGTGGAGAGTTGGATATAGTTAAGTGCCCTCATCCCACTGAAACCTAGAATCAGACTTCATTTACTTTCTTTGTTTTGGGGTGGTTTCTTTTAAACTTTCAATCTATGTGGCCAGAGTTTTGACAATTTTCACTGCTTGAATTAGGTTTTCTTTGTACTTTAACATCTGCATAAAAAACGTTCTACTTGCTCATAAAGACACATTTCCTAGTAAGGGATTCAAAATTGGATAGACTTGTGAAATACTCGTCATATGACTAACAAATTTTTTTTTGTCCACTTGGTTGTTCTTATTTAAGAGAGACTGAGACAGGTATGTTAAGGTCATCCATTATTGGCATATTTCTGCTTTTAAAATAGGGGCTTTTTATTCCATTTATTATTATTGTATATATGTGTAAATGTGTGAATGCAACTGTGCAGGCAGGTACCCTGGTGTGTGTGGAGGTCAGAGGACAGCTTTTGGGAGCTGGCTCTCCCCTTCCATCGTGTGTCTTAAGAACCCAAGTCTCTAGCCCCATATAGCAGGCACTGTCACCCACTGAGCACCTTGCCACCCATTTCTAATTTTCTTATGTCTTTTGTACTTTTATTTTATGACAGCTGTTGTGTCCTTCAACAGAAATTTTAAAAATCATTTAATTTTAGCCTTGAACTTGTACAAGGCCCTTCATCTTAGAACATCTCAGTCTACCAGCCTCCTTGTCTTACTCTGGAGGGGAGGCAGTGCTAGGGATCAAACCCAGAGCTTCATGTTAGGCAAGTGCTCTACCACTGAACCACATCTCCACCCGCCTCCCCACCCACTTCATCTTACACCAACTGTATGGCTTTCTCCCCACGTTAAACAATTCGACAACTGTCTGTACATCCACTGGATTGCCTACACTTCAATTATGAGACTAACGAGACTTAGCAGACCTCACAGGTTAAGGACTTACTCTCACAAGACTGTCCTTTAATTCCAACACCAGGTGCAGAACCTAGGTTGGTAACTATCCTTCTGACCAACTAGTTATACACTGGAGATTCCCACAACACCCCGAGGTTCAACAATTTGCTAGAACTTACAAACTTGGAAGTGTAAGTTTCTCTGTAATGGGGTCCCTGTAATGGGGCAGGAAATACCATACTAGCAGTGTAAAAATGGCCTGCCCTAAAATCCCTGGCACCAGGAGAAACAACTGCAGCCCATAACTAAAGCTGTATTTCTCCTGGGTTTGTTTCATCCTTTCTATAAAGTATAACCATGCTGAGCAAGGCAAAGACAGACTAAGAATTTCTATGTCCTCAGTTTTAGCCAGACTTGTAAATGAATTCACATTTTCATTTCATATATATTACACACACACACACACACACACACACACACACACACACACACTCTTAATGTGGGGTGAGGGCAAGTGTTGGGACCCAGAGCCAAGCTTTATGGCAGGAAATTCTAGTAACACAATCAATTTAATATAAAGAATTTGACAACAGGGAATAGTGGTGCACACCTTTAATCCCAGCACTCAGGAGACAGAGGCAGGCAGATCTTAGTGAGTTCCAGGCCAGCCTGGTCTACATAGCCAGTTCCAGGCCAGCTGGTGTTACAAGGAGAACCTGTCTCAAAAAAAAAAAGGAATTTGACATAGACAAATGGAAAAGATGGAGTAGGCAAGGGTAGGGATGAGGCCAGAGTTCCATGCCCTGCCTGGCCTCATCACCATCCTATCACTTCTACACACTCACTAACCCAGGAACACCACATCAGGGTTTGTTTTATAAAACATTTTTAATGTGTGTTAACTGTTATGTCTGCATGTATGTAAGTGCACCTGTGCCATGCAATGCTCAAGGAGGACAGAAGAGGGCATCAGATCCCCTAGAACTTGAGTTGCAGACAGCTGTTAGCCACCATGTGGGTGCTGGGATTCAAACATGGGTCGTCTCCAAGAGCAGCCAGTGCACTTAACCACTGAGTCATGTCTCTAGCCCCATTTAGGGTTTTTATGATGACTCATCTATGCAAGCATTAGTTGAACGTATTATTGGCCATTGGTGACTAAATTCAATTCCTATACTCTTTTTGTCACAGATCCAATAATTTTGTGTGTGCCCATGTACATATGTGTGTGAGTGCACTGCACATGTAGGCATATGTACATAGAGGTCAGAGGAAAACCTGCAGTGTTGTATCTCAAGTGCCCTCTACCTTTTTTTGAGACAAGCTCTCTCATGAGTGTGGAGTGCACCAAATAGTTAGGCTGTCTGGCTGGAGTCCCAGGATCCACCTACCTCTGCCTACCCAGTAGCGGGATTATTTTATCTTATGTGTATGAGTGTACTGCCTGCATGTATGTAGGTACACCCATGTCATGCAATGCCTCTGGAGGTCAGAAGAGGGATCCCCTGGAACTGGAGTTACAGATGGCTGTTAGCTGCCTGGGAATCAAACCCAGGTCCTCTGGAAGAGCGGCCAGTGCTCTTAACTGCTGAGCCATTTCTCCAGGCCCCAGCAGAGATCAGAAGTGTACACCACTGTGCCTAGCTTTTT